TGTCTAGCATTAGGTACCTGTGTATGTGCCTGAGAGTGTGTATGTTTGCATTTCTAACTGCGTGAGTCTGTGTGTCTGGCATTGTGTACATGTATATGTGCCTGAGCAACCTTGTATAAATGTGTGTGCCTGTTTCTGGCAGCGTATATGTGTGGGGTTGTTGCTTGCATTGAGTTGTGCGTATGGGGAACTGCTTGTGTTCTTTGTGTGTGTTGTTCATGTGTTGGAGGTTGATGTTCAGTGAATGACTGTGATTGGGTGAGTAGCAGGGTGACTGTGGCAAGGTGAGTGGGAAAATGGGACAGGGTGGGGTTACGAGTGTGGCAGGAGAAGGAGGTTGATTGTGGCAGGGTGAGGAAGGTGAATGTGACAGGTTTTGGGAGGGAAGGTGTGAGAAGGTGAGTATGACAAGTTTGGGAGTTAGTGTGGCAGGGAGAGGAGTGATGAGTGTGACAAGGTTTGGGGGTAAGTGATTCTAGCAGATTGAGTGAGGTGGTGACACTATATGAGGGCTGAATGTGTGTGTGGTGGAGTGAATGTATGGGGAGAGTCTGTTTTATAAAAAATGTTTTAAATAATAGTTGCCCCTCTCATACTTACCTCCTGCAGGAAGTGGACTATAAAATCCCCTGTTGGTCCATTGGGATCCTTGGTGGATTCCTGGGGGGTTCCTGGTGAATTGCCTGTTGTTCCTGTGGGGTCTCTGGTGGTCCAGCGGGCAGTTGGGGCATCTGCAGGCCATGTTTTCTAGTGTTCTGTTAGAAGGTCAGTGTGCATTCTGGGAAACTCAGTGCCTACACTCTCTCACAGAGCATTGGAACTGTGAGGGACGGTGATTAGACCACAAATGACCAGGCAGGCTTTTTAAAGAGCCAACAGGGAGATCCTTTGACTTTCCTGCTGGCTTTATGAGGCACAATTCAAGCCAGAGCTCTGGGCTTTTGATCTTCCTGCTGGCTCGAGAAAGAAGGAATCTAATTAGAGCTGGAGCTATGGGCTCAGACAGAGGCCCCACCGGGGTTATGTGTGAGCCCAGTCCAAGCCAGCCGCCTGTGCGGGGAAGCAGCTCAGTGCCTCTGCACTGTGTTTCCTGTCTTTTTGCCTCTCAGTGTGTCTTAGAGGCCACGAGTCATGTGACCTGCAACCTTTGACTTCACCAAACGTGCGGAGAACTCAAGAGGCAGACAGACATTAACAGTGCACATGCACCATGCTTCATCCTATAGACACCAAGGAGGTCCTAAGGATGCCATCTGGGTCCTGGGATAAGTGCAGGGGAAGCCAACGGGGTCCTGAGGAAAGTGCTGAGCATACCATCGGGTCCTGGGCTAAGTTCAGGAAATGTTATCTGGAAATTTATTCTGGGTCCTGGGATAAGTGCAGGAAGAGGATGTCATCTGGGTCCTAGGGTAAGTACACAGAATGCCATCTGGGTGCAGAGCAAGTGCTGGGGATGTCAGAGCAAGAGCTGAAGAATAAATCAGGGTGCTTGAGCAATGTTAGGGATGGCATCTAGGTGTCTGGGCAAGTGCTGTGTATGCAATCAGGGTGACTGAGCAAGCTGTTGGGTTTAGGGTGATGGCACAGATATGCTGGAGGCAGATAGATGGCACAGAGACACTGAGGGCAGAACAATGGCACAGAGACTCTGGGAGCAGAACAATTGCACAGAGATGCTGGGGGCAGAACAATGGCACAGAGATGCTTGAGGCAAAACAATGGCATAGAGCTGCTGGGGGCAGAACAATGGCACAGAGACAAGGGGGGCAGAATAATGACATAGAGCTGCTGGAGGGCAGAACAATGGCACAGAGACTCTGGGAGCAGAACAATGGCACTGAGATGCTGGGGACAGAACAATGTCACAGAGATGCTGGGGACAAAACAATGGCATAGAGCTGCTGGAGACAGATGGCACAGAGACGTTCGGGGCAGAACAATGGCACAGAGATGCTAGGAGCAGAACAGTGGCATAGAGCTGCAGGGGGGAAGAACAGTGGCACAGAAACAAGGGGGGCAGAACAATGGCACAAAATGCTGGGGGCAAAACAAATGCAAAGAGCTGCTGGAGGAAGATAGATGGCACAGAGATGTTTGGGCAGATAGATGGCACAGAGACATTGGGGCAGATAGATGGCACAGAGACACAGCAGGTAGAACAATGGCACAGAGACGCTGGGGGAAGAACAATGTCACAGAAACGCTGGGAGCAGAACAATGGCACAGAGACGCTGTTGGCAGAACAATGGCACAGAGAAGTGGGGGCAGAACAATGGCACAAAGATGCTGAGGGCAGAGACACTGGGGGTAGAGAAATGGCCCAAAGAGGCTGGGGGCAAAGAGATGTCACAAAGAGGCAGGTAGCAGAGAGATGGCACTGATAGGTTGTTTGGGGGCACAAATGGCACTGGCAGAATTTTTGGAGGTAAAGATGGCTCATTGGCATCATATACAAATTGTATGAATTTACTGCTCATTGGCATATGTCATGTTTATGCATTTATTGCTCATGAGCACGATATACAAGGTTTATGCATTTATTGTTCATTGGCATCATATTTAAGGTTTATGCATTTAATGCATTAATAGCATTCCTTTGCTGGAAAATCAATCAGAATTCCTTTCACTAAATACTTGCCTGGTTGGGGAGATCTCCCTTATTGTGATGTCCAAGAGTTGACTGGTTTCTCCGGATTGCTGTATAACTATTTTTCACATATAAATACTACTTTCTATTATCTTGTATGTCTATCAACACATATATTTGTTTGTGTACTTGTGTCTATGGCTGATGTTAACGGGTGGGTTGGTAAAATTGTACTATGGGCCACTAAGTTGTTTATGAATGTTTACTAAACATTGCTCTTTTATTTATTTCAATTTAAAAAAGTTATATTTCCAAATAGACATATGCCAGAGATTAGTATGTCATACACACAATAGCAGATTGCACCGTAAGCTTTAAAACGCACACACACACCCTTGTGAACACATTATATGAAATTTGTCTGTGTTCCATATTCACAGCTAACACCAGTTTATCACTCATTTACCTACAGGGCCTTTGAATGGACCAGTGATAAGTGAATTGGTGAAGAATCAAACTGAACAGCAGGCTGAGGTATTGTGGGTAATTAGAGATTAATTACAATGCCATAGTTTGTATCATGGTCCAGGGTCACTGTTGGGTCACTGCACATGGCAAACTTGGAAAGCTGTGACTGGATGTATGACGCCAACTCTGAGTAGCTCTGGAAAGTGAAGCGTATAAAAATGTGGAGCCAAGGAGACTGGGGACTGAACTCACGGCCAGGACGCTGGCGACAGCAGTTACTCAGAGCTGTGGGCTGTGGGCACCATAAACACTGTAACCAGCTGCTACACCAAGTATGAGAAATTTCAACAAAAGAATTTATAAAATTATTTTTCAAGATTTAAAAGTATAAATAAATAAGATTATTAGTCTCCTTTCCCAATCCCAAGACTGGGGAAGGAGATTTGAATTTAGCAAACCCTCAGCGAAGAGTTAATGTTTCTTACTTAAATAGATGTGCTTCTATAAACTCTAGATAGCATATTGTACATGAAAAACAGTTGCCAATCTAGTACAACCATTACAAAATCTCAGATTTAATGTGCTTGTTAGTTATTAAAGCATTATGCCAACTTTCACATTCTTTAAATCCTTTGCTATGCTAGCCTGAGTTATATCCACTGGAAGCCTGGTGCAGGTATCCACTACTTTGTAACTAGCGTATTCATTGTCATTACTAAACCAGTTTGTAGTTAAGAGGCAAATGTCTGTGTTCTTTTGCAGTATGCCCTTCCCTTTGGAGCATAAAGTGTTAAATGTTATGTATGTTGATGACATTTACAGAGTGTGCATTTTTTCAGAGGATAAACATGGATTCCAATTGCAACTTGTGTAGTGTTATTGTTTGTCTGTGTTTACAAGATTGCAAACTGTAACTGTTTCGCGGTCACTGACAATTCCTGGACTTTCTTCTATGTTCATATCCGTAGTTCTTTTTTTTATAATTAATGTTCAACACATTTTAAAATAATCTGTAATCAATTCATAATTGCTCTATTTTTACAGGATTTTTTTATAATAATATTTGCTCGTTTAAACGTGCATGGCTATTTTTCAATCTGTTCTGCCCATATTATTTTTTATTAGCATGCAAAACACCAGCTGTAATCTAAGAGCAACAGGCATCCATGCATCTGTAGATCTAGATAGATAGATAGATAGATTTCAACAAGCTTTATTAGTGACATTAAGACTCACGCTATTGTTAGCACAAAGACAATTACTCATATAAACAGTTTTTGTACACAAAATTGATAAATGCAATTAAAGTAACTCTGTCAAGTTCGGGTGTCTGGGCACATTTTTCAAAGACTTCCAAAGTTGGTATCCGCACGTGGTGGCCTGGCAGCCTGGGGTTTAAGGTGAAGGGAGTCATTCTTACTTGAATATGGAGCCACCATCTTCTTTCTCCAGCTAATGGCAGTTCAGCAGTCGTGCCACTTTTGTTCTTTTGAGCATGGGTCCTAGAAAAAACTTGTCAACATAGCATGCAGTATAACGACAAGTGATTTTTGATCTAGAAAATCAGAGTTATATATATTAATAAAGCTTTTATTGAGTCAAATAAATGATTACATGTAATATGTTCTATTTGCGTATTTTGTTATACTCACTGTAGTGATTATAGTGCCAAAAGTGCCTTGGACCCCACCCCCAAAGGAGGCAAACCTTCTGTGACTTTAGGGTCTGCTGGTGATCTTTTGACACTCTCAGCCAATGAGCCAAGACCTGCATTGTTAAAAGAATCTCCTTGTTAATTACTTCCAACTCTGAGTAGATGGTAGTGTAGGTAGGAATGAGTGTCCAGTGGATCCCATGTAAGAAGGTAAACCACTCAAAAATTATTTGACTGGGGGCGGGGCCGAGCAGCAGAGCAGTCCATACGCCATTATACTTCACTCCTAAGATTACGATTGTAATCCACCTCATCCTGATTGACATCAACCCTAAAGACGCCCAACAGTGGCATAATCTTGCAGGGGAATATCCCTGGAACACGCCAATGCCCTTTGTGTTCGGGAAGGGTACAAGATCAGCGCACGCGGACCGCCGTAGTGCCAGGCAGCAAAGCCTGAAGGCCGTGGCAGCGCACGCCAAATTCCTGGAATCCTGGTTTACATACTCTCCTCCAGACTCACCTGCCGAGTCTAGCAACACAGACACCCCAGAAATGGGTCGAACAAAACCAAAGACCCCGAGGGCAGGAGTGCCTAACAAGGCAAGGGACATAGGCGCACTACTAAAATGCACGCCAAGGTCTAAAATTAAGGACCAGGCCGACATGGAGGCCTCCATGGGTCAATCAGAGGACGAGACAGCACCAGCTGGGTCTCGAGTACTCGGGCCCAATGATAGACAACACCCGAACCTAGCCACCAAAGATGACATAACGAGAAACTCAGGAAACTCTTCGACGCCGATATGGCACTGATGAAATCGGAGGTACAGACAGTCACGGCCCGAATACAGACCACAGAGGATGATGTCGCAGAGCTCAAAAGGGAGCTATCTGGCATGGGGGGGGAAATTGCATTTTACCAGGACCTAACCCGCTCAACCCTTCAATGGCGCAAATCCATGCAACCTATCACTCAACAGCTACTAGCCACAGGTATCGGGTACCGCTGGACAACCCCAAGAACTCTGACAGCCCTTACAGATGACAGAGCACACAGAGCCAGATCCCTGGCGGATGCCGCACAGTTCCTCATGGCACTAGGCCTAACGGCACAGGAGCATCGACCGAAGACCACATACAGATGGGACATGCAAAATATAACACCCTTTGTACCCAACGGTAACCAGGACTTGGTGACATGAGCAAATACACCCTGACATATCAGCTCATCACTGACACAGTTTATTAGGTTGAATCCTTATTATGTTGCCCCTTTATTAGGTTGAATATTTCGTATGTTGCACCTTGAAGGGTATGCCACGCTGACCTTTTCTCCAGCATAGCACCCCCACCTCTACACAAACTAACAGGTACTGTACATTGCCACATACGCTACATATGGGAAACGCAAAAGACACCTCCAACAGACCCACCATTAAGCATAGGCGGGAGTCACTGGTTTGCCAGTAACATATGGGCCCCATAACACTCCCCCCCCGACCACCCCCTTGTTTAGGAGTACCCCAGCACACTGAAGGGTTTAGCAGACTAATATCGCATATGCACTCACAGTATAACCCACTCATCTCAGGATCTCACCGCGTACTCTCACAAACCAGACTTAGCCTCCAGTAACCTGGAAACTCTACCTGGCGAACATAAACCCAGACATGTAATCACGCACTCCACATCTCTCTCACTATTTGCCTTTACGCATGTTATCCTTCGCAAAGTTTACTAAGAAGCTTCGCTCAGTTGCATTTTTGTTGACTGTTCAAACAATATAAAAAGTGTTTTGCTGCAATGCCATTTAAGTATATGACAATTCTGATGACTCCATTGTACCTAGAGAGACGAACTGCTCTACCTCCTGTATCAACAAATGCACAAATGTTAATTGTCTCCTCCGGCAAACACACAATAAAAACAGAATTTCATTTTAAAAATTATTTGACTCTTTATAATGGCAGAAGGAGGTGCCAGCGCAATCCTAACACCATAACGATCACAGCAAGCTTTTGTAGTTATGGTGCCTTCTGTGTTCCTTCTGTGTATTTTGCATGCATATTTTGGTTTACCCTTGAACTGTGATGGCAACCATATTTGTTGTCTTTAATCTGATAATAGGTTGCACAGGTAAATGGCTGCTGGTATGCATTCATGAATCCTGACGTTAGTACACGCACTAAGCATCTTGGAAATGCACTTGTTTCAGCCATTTAAATTAACCACAGGTTATGATCAGATAAACAGTGTTAAAGATACCTTAAAATGACTGCTCCCAGTGAGCAAGGGTAAGATAGGATATGCAATGAAATGAGGTATTTACTTATTTAATGCATTTACTGCACTATAACACACAACAATCTTTCATGTCCAAGAATAAGAGAAACACATAAAAATATTTATTTTACAAAAAGCTATTTGTGCTAAATTGACAACCAATGACAAACTTTGAAACAAAATAACTAGTTTAAAAAAAATAATCCACTACTGAGAAATTTCATTCTCATTTAGATTTTTGTACAAATTCTTTAAAGCTGGTAAAATTCCTTTTAATCTACACCTGAACTAATCGATTTGTCCGTGATTTACCTGTGAAGTATTATTCATTGTTTGGGCACAGATTAAAAGGGATTTGATTCGTTCATGGCAGCTGAAAGAATTTGTGCACAGCAAAACTCACCTGACACTGCTAAAAACAGCCACCTGTGCCAAATGGAATTATGAGAGGTAGAGGGCAAATACCCAAACTATGGGATTTAACTTGCAAATGTGGAAACATTCCTGAGTAAACAGTACTGATAAAAAAAAACTCACAGCCAGCTGTACCATCATTACCGCTTATACTGAGTAATTTCCTGCCAAGATCCAGACTACTGTTTGTGGGCAAACACTTAGGGGTTTATTTGCTAAACAACACAAATCAATGAATTTAAGATCTGAGCTGTTTTTTGTTTTGTTTTTTAAATCACCATTTTAGCCTAAATATTGCAATTCAGTTTTCAGTTCACTGCAATTTTCTGCTTAGTGAATGATTTAATTTAGCGTGATCTGTGAAGGTAAAAAAAATAAAACCACCACCAATTTTAAGATATTATGTAGACTTTTTTTTACTGACTACAAATACATGGGAGGTTTCTTGGCCAACTTGCCATCCATGTATATGGAGTTGGTGCTGTCCTTTTTAATCTTTCTCTTTTTAATTTAAATTCTTTAAATTTACTATCTGCAGATTTCTTGTAAAAGAATATAAACCCAAACTAGACATTCGTGCTGGAACGCACTCTGCCTCCTCAGATGTCAGCCAATGAGGTAGCAGCGCACAGGGCCGCCATCAGAAATTTTAGGGCCCCTGACACAGCTCAAGATCTGGGCCCCCTGGGTCAGCCCCGTGTCCGCCCACAAGGATGAAGTGTGTGTGTGTGTGTGTGTATAGTGGATGTAGAATGAGTGTCATTGATGCAGTGTGTATAGTGGATGTGGTATGTGTGGTTATGGATGCAGTGGGTATAATGGATGCAGATTTTACGTTTTGTGTAATGTATGTAATGTTTGTATGCATGCATTAGATGCAGAGTGTGTGTGTGTAGTGAATGTAGGTGTGTACAGTGAATGCAGAGTGTGTGTTTTTGTAGTGGATGTAGTGTGTGTACAGTTAATGCAGAGTGTGTGTTTTTGTAGTGGATGTAGTGTGTGTACAGTGAATGCAGTGTGTATTTTTATAGTGGATGTAGTGTGTTTGTAGTGAGTGCAAAGTGTGTATAGTGCATGTAGTGTGATTGTGGGGAATGCAATATGTGTATAGTGAATGTAGTGTGTTTGCAGCGAGTGCAAAGTATGTATAGTGATTGTAGTGAGTGCAAAATGTGTATAGTTCATGTAGTGTGATTGTAGTGAATGCAAAATGTGTATAGTTCATGTAGTGTGACTGTAGTGAATGCAAAATGTGTATGTGAATGTAGTGTAGTGTATGTGAATTGTGGCGAATGCAGAGTGTGTATAGTGCATGCAGTGTTTGTAGTGAGTGCAAAGTGTGTTTAGTAAATGTAGTGTGTTTGTAGTGAGTGCAACGTGTGTATAGTGAATGTAGTGTGTGTGTGTAGTGCAGTGTGTTTAGTGAATGTAGTGTGTGTAGTGCAGAGTTTGTTTAGAGAATGTAGTGTGTGTTTAGAGAATGTAGTGTGAGTGTTTGTAGTGCAGTGTGTGTAGTGCTGAGTGTGTTTAGTGAATGTATTGTGTGTGTGTAGTGCAGAGTGTGTTTAGTGAATGTAGTGTGAGTGTGTGTAGTGCAGAGTGTAGATAGTGAATGCGGTGTTTGTAGTGAGTGCAAAGTGTGTTTAGTAAATGTAGTGTGTTTGTAGTGAGTGCAACGTGTGTATAGTGAATGTAGTGTGTGTGTGTGTGTAGTGCAGTGTGTTTAGTGAATGTAGTGTGTGTAGTGCAGAGTGTGTTTAGAGAATGTAGTGTGTGTGTGTGTAGTGCAGTGTGTGTTTAGTGAATGTAGTGTGTGTGTAGTGCTGAGTGTGTTTAGTGAATGTAGTGCGTGTGTGTGTGTAGTGCAGAGTGTGTTTAGTGAATGTAGTGTGAGTGTGTGTAGTGCAGAGTGTGTTTAGCGAATGTAGTGTGAGTGTGTGTAGTGCAGAGCGTGTTTAGTGAATGTAGTGTGTGTGTAGTGCAGAGTGTGCTTAGTGAATGTAGTGTGTGTGTAGTGCAGAGTGTGTTTAGTGAATGTAGTGTGTGTGTGTAGTGCAGAGTGTGTTTAGTGAATGTAGTGTGGGTGTGTGTAGTGCTGAGTGTGTTTAGTGAATGTAGTGTGTGTGTGTGTGTAGTGCAGAGTGTGTTTAGTGAATGTAGTGTGAGTGTGTGTATTGCAGTGTGTGTTTAGTGAATGTAGTGTGAGTGTGTGTAGTGCAGAGCGTGTTTAGTGAATGTAGTGGGTGTGTAGTGCAGAGTGTGTTTAGTGAATGTAGTGTGTGTGTAGTGCAGAGTGTGTTTAGTGAATGTAGTGTGAGTGTGTGTAGTGCAGAGTGTATATAGTGAATGCAGTGTTTGAAGTGAGTGCAAAGTATGTTTAGTAAATGTAGTGTGTTTGTAGTGAGTGCAACGTGTGTATAGTGAATGTAGTGTGTGTGTGTGTGTGTAGTGCAGTGTGTTTAGTGAATGTAGTGTGTGTAGTGCAGAGTGTGTTTAGAGAATGCAGTGTGTGTGTAGTGCAGTGTGTGTTTAGTGAATGTAGTGTGAGTGTGTGTAGTGCAGAGTGTGTTTAGCGAATGTAGTGTGAGTGTGTGTAGTGCAGAGTGTGCTTAGTGAATGTAGTGTGTGTGTAGTGCAGAGTGTGTTTAGTGTGTGTAGTGCAGAGTGTGTTTAGTGTGTGTAGTGCAGAGTATGTTTAGTGAATGTAGTGTGATTGTGTGTAGTGCAGAGTGTGTTTAGTGAATGTAGTGTGAGTGTGTGTATTGCAGTGTGTGTTTAGTGAATGTAGTGTGAGTGTAGTGCAGAGTGTGTTTAGTGAATGTAGTGTGTGTGTAGTGCAGAGTGTGTTTAGTGAATGTAGTATGAGTGTGTTTAGTGAATGTAGTGTGTGTGTGTAGTGCAGAGTGTGTTTAGTGAATGTAGTGTGTGTGCGTAGTGTAGAGTGTGTTTAGTGAATGTAGTGTGTGTGTTTAGTGAATGTAATGTGTGTAGTGCAGTGTGTTTAGTGAATGTAGTGTGTGTGTGTAGTGCAGAGTGTGTTTAGTGAATGTAGTGTGTGTAGTGCAGAGTGTGTTCAGTGAATGTAGTGTGTGTGTTTAGTGAATGTAGTGTGTGTG